TAATAGTACACTGGTGATGGAGGAGGTGGAGACTTGTAATAATAAATTGGAGATGGAGGAGGCTTGTAAACTGGCGTTGGAGGAGGTGGTGACTTGTAGTAATAAGTGGGGGATGGTGGAGGTGGGGACTTATAGTAGTAAATTGGAGTTGGAGGAGGTGGTGACTTGTAGACGTATGGTGGTGGATAGTAGGGCTTGGGCTTTTCACACTCCTTGTAAGGCTTCTTGGGAGCATAAGCAAAAGGCTTAGCTGACAACACAACCTCGTACTTGGTCTTGGACTTGACCTTCAGCTTGGCACCGACCTTGCCCCAATGGAGGTTAGTCGCAATGTTGCACGGGGATCCCTTAGGTGCCGCGTGAAGCTTAGCCTTACAAGCCTTGGCTCCATATTTAGCATACTCAAAGCCTTTGACTTCAATGCTGTATTTGCCATTGTTCTTTGTCTTTCCGTATGCTACTATTTCCTTCTTTCCCGCCTTGCAAGTTACTTCCACAACGGCTCCTACAAATTAAAAAAGAAAAAAAAAATTGTATATCAGAAAACGACACAATTTCAGCATTTTACTGTACAATACCATTATTTTAGTCTAGAAATACCTAGCCTATTTGTCTAGCTACTTTAATAAGTTCATTTTGTTTGAGTCATACTTAAAAATATTATTAAATTCACTATTTTGAGTCGTGATGGGTAATAATGGAGGCAATGATAATATCACATGGATGGATGGAGGGCAAATTAGTAAATTTGATTTTTTAAATAAAAAATATGTATTAATCAATTAAAGTTGGGAAAAAATATTCTCCTTTTCGATTTTCTAATCCAAATCCAATTATGTGTCGCTTTCATTTATGAAAACTGGTGCATGGATAGAAACATGATCAATTTTTGACTTGGGTTTTGGAATAACCAAATTTGGAATCAAAATCCTTGTCATGAGACTCACATAAAAGAAAAGAAAAATAGAAACATTAAAGATCAATTTTGAAGAGAAAAAGTTCAAAACTTTAATTTGATGAATACTCGAAGGAAAATAGTTGGCTTCCCAACATTAAAATAAAAAAAATTTGGTTCTTTAATGTTAAGGAACTAAGTATTTTCCATGCTCAAATGAAGAGGGAAAATAAAAATTTTAAAATTACCTTGAAGGTGCTTCTTGTCGTGTGATTTTTCTGGGTAAGCCCAGTCGTAGCATCGGATGCAGTATACTTTTCCAACCACCTTGACGACAAAGTGGTGGTGTGGAGGGTAGTATGGTGGTGGGTAGTACGGAGGAGTGTAGGGCTTCGGGGGTGGAGAGTAATAAACTGGTGGAGGCGAATAGGTTGGCGGTGGTGGAGATTTGTAGTAGTACGGAGGAGAGTAGGGAGGCGAGTAAGTTGGGGGTGGTGGAGATTTATAGTAGTAAGGAGGAGAGTAGGT